CCCCACTATACAAAAATATGCCGTCCTTGCGCGAGTGTAAAAAAAAGCCGTCGCCCCACTGTACAAAAATACGCCGTCTTTGCGCGAGTGTAAAAAAAAGGCGTCGCCTCGCGCGCGGGTACGTCGCGGGAGCGGGGCTGGGGGGAGGATGATGGGGAATGATCATCCTATCCTTTTTTAAGTTTTTACATGAAGGGGTATAAGATGATCTGAACTGTTGATGTGTCTAGGGGGTTGTACCGAAGAAGAAGTGTTTGTTAACATGGTCAATTGGTACTTGCATGCATGGTTAATTAATTAGACACCAATTGACCATGTATCATTTGCACACGAGAGAGAGAGAGTGTGTGTACGTCCCTCATCATTCACCTCACCGCCTTCTCTCCATGGCCTGTAGCTGCTATCTAAGCATGCATGTGTACATTAGCTGAATGATCTTGTACTCCTATACATCTAGGGTTTTGCAAGGCCGGCAGTTTAGCCCTAGCTAGCAACCAAGCAAGCCAGTGCTACATGACTCCTCCTGCAGCCCCCTTTAAAAGCAGCCTAGCTGCTTTACTTTACCTCGCCAGCCCACCACTCCTACTCCTGCTTCAATCCTTCCATCATGATAAGAAGCTGCGATCGAGCAGATCTATCGTCCCTCGATCTGTCCTGCGTGTGGCTGGCAACGAGATCGCCGGCCGATATCCTTCTTGGTGAGAGCCATGTCTTCACGATCGTATAAGAGAGAGCTTGATTTGTGAGACGAGACAAGGGAGCTGCGCGCATGGTGGATGGAGAGAGCGATATTGGGGAGGCTCAATCCGATGAATGGGATTTAATTACGCCGTCCGTCCGTCGTAATAAACCTAACATATCTGATTGAGCCGCGCCAATATCACTTCCTTCAACCATATATCTATACACACACGTGTGTACAGTGCTAGCTCTGGAATTCTACACGCAAGAGGTGCGATCAATAGCGTTTGTCCTTAATTCCTTCTTACTTATATCTCACTGCTCTTCGACCCCCATTGTATTGTGTTTAATCCACAGCTACGGATAGACTGTTCTTCCGGACATGTTGTCTTAGGTAAAGTAATTTCCTCTTACTTATTGGCCCCTGCATGCAAAAATGATCGCATGTTTTGTGTTTTCACTCATGGCGACGACCATGATCCCTACTAATATAAAAGACTTAGTTGATGATGATGGTGTGTCTGCCACCCATCATTTCTGATCATTAGATTTGTGCATCTAACGACTATGAGGTAAGTTGTGGTCTTTTTGCAACAGTAGCCCACTTCTCTGTTTCAATTTGTAGAAAACTCCTTAGTATTTTGAAACCAAGGACATCCCTTCCTCACCTCATCGGAACAGCCCGAGTAATATATTTTCAGTGAAACATAATATATTTTAGTGATATATGTATATCAAAACTAGAGTGTTTTCTTTCAAGTTTGTGAACAAGTATTGTTCTACTTTGGATCCTTGCAACGCACGGGCGCATTGCTGGTATATGATTATTTTTTTGACTCTGCAATTTGTATTATCTTAGATACTCCGTACTTGGATAGGAAAATAGATCTTAATGTGACACAAAGCGTTAAAATGGGATTTAATTTCATCCGTACTTGGGTTGAAGGTACAACCACTCAGTTAACTACTTACTACCTAATTGTCGTGTGTTACAACCGGGGCAAACATATTTTAGCGAGTTAATACCAATAGGAGTGTCTCAACAGAGATGTTGCAAGTGCTTTTTTTTCATATGGCATGTCCCACATTGACGTCGTCCAGTAGTATCTTCCGGCAGAACGTGAAAGGAGGTGATGAAAAATGAAAAGAGATTTTAGGAGGAGCCCACATAAATTATAATTTCCTTAAATTAAGGTGATCCTCGCTTGAGGTATTTAACTGCACTATGCATGCTATAGTCAAAATCACAAAAATATAACTCTCCATAATTAATGTGGCCCTTCTTTTTTTGTGGGTAATTAATGCGACTCTTCAGTCCAATGCTATACTTTTCATAAATTAATGAATGTTGTTTTCTGTTTGAAGGGAATGAGTTGGACAAGAAAAGAAAAGTGTCGATTTGGTTCAGATTATTTCATGTCACTCTAATGCGGCATTAGTTGATATTACCAAAAAAATCTATCGCAAAACCAAGCACGAATGAGGGTGTGAGGAGGGAAACACGAAGAAGGAGGTGAGGTGAACTACCAACTTCCCTTCAATTAAAGTAGAGAAACAATCATGATGCATGCCTAGAAAAGAAAAACGTTGATATGATTATCCCTTTGTTGATGTCGTATTTGTGATGAGTTCATACTCCCTCTTGTCCTTTTTACTCTGCATATTAGCTTTGCCTGAAGTCAAACTTGTAAAGGTTGATCGAGTTTGTAGAAGAAAATGTCAATGTTAGTAATACCAAAAAATAGCATTACATGCATTGTAGGATATATTTTCATATTTTATTTATTTGGTATTGCAGATGTTGACATTTTTTAATATAAAGTTGATCAAAGTTCACAAAGTTAGATTTAAGGCAAATCTAAAATGTGGACGAAGAAGGTATGGAGGGAGTATATATGAGATAAGTAAGCAGATTGTGTGCATGAATGCACATGTTAATTACTTTTTCTATTCATTTTATTGCTTCTTAGGGTGATTTTTTTGCTTTTTAACACTTCCTGATTTTATTACTTGTTTATGTTTGAAGAAACAAGATGAAACAATTAGGATGTGATAATTAAGAGGGGGGGGGGGAGGCAGATGGAAGTAAAAGAAAAACAATGTATTTTTGTTTTAGCAACTAAAAACGATGTACTATTAGGCAAAGCAAATGCTTCGCCATACACATGGAAGCTAGGCCAACCAACAATGGGAGCGCCTACATGACACTTACATGTACAATTCAAGGTGCTTAGAAGGATCTTAGAAAAATAAAGTTGTTTTTACTTAAGCGACGGTGCTTATTGGTAGAATACATATGCTTAAGCAGGTACATGTGCTTTAAAAAAAATCAGGTACAGGTGCTATAGCAATAAGGAATAATGGTTAAGAAAAAAAGTTGTTTATTTTTCTAAACATCACTCTAAGTACACACTGCATCGTACATGGTCTTATAATGAGCACTGTACTAACATCGCTTGAGGCCATTAACATGCACGGTTTTTAGTTGTTGAATATCTCAGAAATACTTTTATTTCACTAATTTCAAATAATCAATTTAATAATGAACTTTTTTCATGTGTTGCAAGAAAATAAATACAACCGTTTTATAACATTGAAAGGAATTTTTCATGCATATAAAAATTTGTTCATTTATAAAAATACTCTGATACGTAAACATGAATGGACATGTCTTGTCGAAAATGTATGTATATTTCGAAATAAATTTTCATATAATTAATAATTAAATTTTAAATGTTTTTAGAAACACTTTATATACAAAAAGAAATGCTCATATATCCCAAAAAGTTGTTCAGCTTTTGAAAAATCAATGTTCACGTGTTCAGAAGAAAATATGTTCATGTATCTCATTAAAATATTCATCTATCGTACCAAAGTTCATGAAAAAAACATTTTCAAATAAACAAGAAAAAACCAACGAGAAAGAAACCTCGATGGTATTTGTCGGGAAATAAATAAATTATCCCTTATATAAAAACAGCTTCTTACAAGAGTAAGAAATTAATAACAAGTCCTTCAAGAAATCAACACCGTCTTCCTTCTACATCCACCGACAGCGTGCCGTGAGTAAAACTCATTGACGCCTCTAAGCCTCCGACTCAACGGAAGAACATTGTTGGAACATAGGATCTTGTAAAAGCAGCAACCAGGAACTCGTCGATGTAGGCTAGAAGAAGCCGATGACCCAGATAAGCCGACATAGAGGAGGGCTAGAAGATAATCACAGCTCCACCCAAATAGAGGAGGGAGACAAACCTCACAATTCCTCCGACAGAATCATATATGGCCGAGCTTCAACGGATGGAGATGAAACTAGAGACCAACAATACGTTGTAGTACCATTCTCTTCGCATGACGCGGACGATGTGAACAAATGCTAATCACTCTAGACCGAGTGCCCGGCATAAACACCATCCTATTACCCGTTGAGGCCGCTTTGAGGAAATATATGGACATGGAGAAAACCAGGCAGCTATTATTCCCATCATTGCAGCTGCCCTGACATTACCAAAGATGAATAGCTAGACCATAGCAGACAAGGCCTGGGACACTCAGATCGGGGGTCCTACCTTTACACCCGTCGCCACAACTGTCGACAGAGGCCAAGGGAACCCCAATCAGCATCAACGGGTTGAGGGATTAAGCTAGACACATCCTCTCTAGCAAACCCTAGGAAAACAACTTGTCTCTAATACTTGCAATAAACAAATACATGAGTGTGGCATACGTTTGGTACTCTATATGTCTTGTAAAGTAGAATATTCTTTAAATGTGAAACGATGTTTTTGTCGACAATGAGAAGTATATCATTAATCTTAAAGATAGGCAACCATGTTTTGCGTAGACATTGTGTGTGTTTGTGCCTCCATATAATTCTTTTTAGGGTGCCTGCAAGAGAAAACAATGAGGCTGATTGGTTTGATGCCAACATTTGGCATTGCCAATACTTGGCAAACCAACATTTAAAAAATCTAAAATTTGGCATCTTCTTGTAAGCTTGGTAAGAAAGGTTGGTAACCAAGCAGTCACTAGCCAATTTTTGGCAATTTGTTTCTAGGAAATCCGACTTTTGGCATGTGCAAACCAATCATGCTCAATACACAGCAACTCCCAAATTCTGGCCCACTCCCGCTAATCACGGCCCAGCCCAAATCCTTGCCACCAACGGCTACCGTTGCGCTATTCCCGACGCACAGCGCGGCGCCGCAAGGAGGCGCGACCACTCCGCAAACTGCCTCGCCGAGATAAGGGGAGCACGCTGCACGCACCCGCTCTGCCCCGGCGCCACCACCACCCTCGCCCTCCGTCGATGCCCCGCGATGCCGTCGGCCGCCACCCGCTCGTCGTCCATGGGCGCCGGCGACATTGAGTTCGCCCTCGACCTCGACGACATCGCCGCCCGCGCAGCCAAAGCGGACTGCATCGGCGCGCTCGCCTGCGGCCGCGCAAGCTTCTCCTACCACCGCCTCCCCGAGCCGCCCCTCCGCCTCACCGTCCGCAAGCTCGACGATTCCTACTTCGGTACCAGATCCCGCCCCCTTCCGTTTAATTCCCCCGAATTGCTTGGGGGGTTTGGTTCTGCCCTAGATTGATCCCTGCCGCGGCGTGGGGATTGCGAGTATGTGACCTTCCGTGCGTTGCTTCTGATTATGTAGGCGTGCAGATCGCCAGGTCGGCCGCTGTGTGGGAGCTCAAGGCGGCGATACAAGGCGTGTTCATCGCTCTCTACGATGACATGGAGAATGCTGTCACTTGGTATGCCACATATACAAGGGGTCTGTAATTTAGCAAGTTGTTTGCTTTTAATTGCGCTTGGATGCCATGTGGATAATTCAAAATAATTGAAGAGAGATTTTTTTCTCTGACATACAATGAATAATGGGCAATTTAGAGTGAAATTCACTGTCATTGTTTGTTTGAATTAAAATTTGGTGGTGGGAATTTAACATTTAAGGTTGTTGCTTTGCTTGTTTTAGGCAGCACGTGTGGAGCCACTTCTGCTTATGCTTCAAGGATGAGAAAATGACGGATGACAGGGCAACCTTGCGTGCATTTGGTATAAAAGATGGTGATGAGGTCTGTGCACATTCCTCCTCTGCGATTGGTAGAAATGTGCATTTTAGTGTGGATTAGCTCTGCCCCGTTTCATGAGATCAGTAAGGATACAAGTCATCCTATTTATGAAACTATGATGTGCTGTTGTACTGCTCATTGTTCCGCTTACTCCTTGTTCATACAATAGAGATGCCCCTATTGTTAGGCAATCTACAGTTAAGTTATTTCCATATTTGATTTGGCACTTTTGCCTATCAGACAACGTCTTATGCTCCTGTGTGAGCATAACAATTATTAAATACCCTTGATTTTACTTGTCATATTAGTTCCGATGATGTCACTTGTGGTCCTCTTGTACCAAATGCTTATTGTACCAAATGCTTATTGTAGGTAGCTCAGTAATGGTGCTAGAGCTACTAAATTCCAACACAGCCATGTACTACTTTTCCTCTTCTCATTCTTGCATACTGAAAATTCCTGAACAAGAATTACTTTCCATTATCCAATAAGTGAGTATAATAAATGCATGCTGGCATAATGCATTTGTAGTATGATTCATTATTTGTGTTCAAGGCCATTTGGAAATCGAGTAAACTGTTTCAGCTATTTGCGGAAGTAAGTGTCAAATCCTATTTAATGTCACATTCTGATGTGCCATTTTCTACTTCCACTGATTTGCCTCTGAATACCTTCCATTATATTGTCCTTGTCATGCAGCTCCATTTCGCCCAGCATCTCTCCGTTGACTACAGCCCTTGCAAGAGTTCAAAAAGTCAAAGGGCAACATCTCACAGAAGGTATGCGAGATCCTAGTGCCTCTTTAAGGCCCTTTGTCCACTTGATCTGCATCTTCCTAGAACTCTCATGGATTTTCTATATGCTCACAATCGATGATGTGGCAAGTAATTTCATATGGCAGGTCAAGGACTTCAGTGGAAGGTTTTAGTGTCAGACCACGGAGTTTGATGGATGATCTGATCGAAGAAGATGAGGGCGAGAAGAAGCTTGCTGCTACTAGGCATTCGACCAGTATTCTGGATGAAGATTTTTGTGTTTATGAGCACCACGAGCAGCACGTGGAGGAAGATCGTAAGAAAGGAAGCTCTGTTCGCGGTTGGTTCTCATACTCTAGATTGAGGGGTAACAGGAGAACACACTCGGAGAATATTGAGCAACCCTCCTGCGAAAAGGGCAGTCGACCAAAGCTAGGGAAATGGCTGTCTTCCAAAATGTCGAAGGCCCGGAGTAAATGATACCCAACTGCTATCTATCGGACATCTTCTGTTTTATTTTCTGAATGAAGCCCTGAAAAGCGGCAGACGACCAGTAATTCCCTGCATGACATAGGATAGGCCATTAGCCTAGGTGACCTTAAAGTTCAGTGTATATATGTGTTTTTTGACTCATTGTTCCTTCCAAATTTGATGGTCTTATTGTTTAGTGCAATCAGATATTTATCCTCTGTTTTCACTCCTTCCAAATTTGATGGTCCTGAGAATTTACTGTTAATATTTCAGAAAACATTTTGTGGTCTTCTGAGTAACTTGTGCAGCTAGCGGACCGACAACAATTACCCTGTGATCATGAGCAATAAACCTGGGCAAACATTATGTAATCTCCGTTGGGATTCTTAATAAATCTTATTGCTGTTAAACTCCATCTGCACATCCCCCGCAAAGGAAAAGATAACATAACACCTTTTTAGGGGAAAGTTCACTACCCATCTTACATGTAATCGAACCCCCCAAAAAAGTGTGAAAAAGAGGGCTAGGTTGCTAGCCATGAAAGAAGAATATTAACAGTACATTTTTCACAATTAGCAGTACCTATCTTTTCTCCAGAGAGAGACCGACCGAAGCCTATACCTATGGGGAAGAACAAATGAAACAGCCGCAGAACAACATCAGCAAAAACTACTGAAAGAGAGAGACCGGTGATATGATACATTTCACAAGTTTACGTACAGAACCGGCTACTAGTGACCGGCGCCTCGCCTGCTTGGCCCCGCCCTTGCGACGACAAACACCGGCAAGTTGGCCGTCGACAAGCCGCCCCCTCCGTGGCCATGATCGCGCAACGGCCGGGAGCACTCCGCCAACAGAGCGCAGGCGCACAAGAGCAGCAACACCACGGTGACCACCACGCGTAAGCTCGCCATCCTAGCTCCGCGGCGGTCGAAGGCGGTGTCGATTACGGGCTAGGGCTTTGTCGGCGGTCGTCGATCGGCAAGAGGGAGAGCTCTGGTTTCAGAAGGAGAGGTTGTGTGCGTAAGGTGTTGGTCGTGTTGGCCTGGAGGAGGAAGGAAGGGAGGAGGACGCTTAAATGGTGGCGAGACGGGGGCACGGGAGGGGAGGAGGTGAGACGTGTGCGGCAAGGACTTTGAATGAGCGCGCGCGCATGGAGGGATGAGGGTTGACAAACGGAGGAAAGGAAGGTGGTAGGTTTGATCTCGTTAGGCTGCAACCACCCCTAGATTCTGAACCAAATCTTTGCTTTTCTGGGTTGCATTTACACGCTCAGTTTGACCGGCCTGCGGCAGCGTGTGTGCTTGCTTGTGGAGAGGGGTTCTTAAAATAGTATCAGAGCTGTAGTGAATGGATGCATTTGTATTTGTTTAAGAAGGATGGACTCCGCGTTAGTACAGTATAAAACTTGACAGTTGACACTGCAAAGTGCAAGTTCAGTCCCTATCTGGAAATTCAGGTTCTCCATCTGGTACGTAGGTGAAGGCTCATACTACTAGTTTATGTATGCACTTTTCTGAAGAAGAAACTGATTACTGGCAGGAGATATAATACTGGAAATTTGCATTGCTATTGCATAATGGATGGATTCACGAGTGTGAATTTGCTTCGCACTGCAGAGAGAATGTGTAGCAGTAAAACCTACTCAAAGTGAGTCCAAAAGTCTTGTTCCTTGGCCGGGTAGCAAAGCACGCACCGAATAACGTCGGTAATCCTGGTTGGCCAGAGCGTTAGCACTTTTTTTCCAGCAGTGCTGTGTCATGGGTAGTTTTATTCGGTCTGTTCATACTGCTGAATGCTGAATCTTTTACCAAAAGCGCCCGCGGTCGGTACTGGATTTAGCTATCTGCATATCCATCCGGCCGGCCGGATCGTGCTATTCCTTTCTTGGGATGAGGAGATATGACATATTCTTTGTATCTCACGTTAGCGTTACCACGGCTGATTCAGCAACGCAAGGAACCTCATTTTCTTGTGCGCGCTTTTCTGTTGCTGTCCAACAACATCAGTGGTAGTGCCAGCTGACGCGATCATCCTCCAGGGAATTTGCACCGACCTGACGTGACGTTGCATATGCCCTGACATCACTCGTGACAAGCAAAGATTTATGGTCGTAGGGCCTTCTCAGCGGCTATGATATGACCCAGCGTGGGGGCGTTCCCATGCAGGACAAGCGCGGGAGGACGGACGGAAGCAGCGGGCAAAGCGAAGGATGACTGGATCGCCCAAGCGGCAGCGGCTACCGACGGACGGACATTTTCGGCCGCCCGGCACGCGCTCGCTGCTTTGCAGGACTCCGCGCCGCGTCCGCACGTTGCCCGCGGCTGCGCTGCGCTTCACACTCGCACTCGTACTGTCCTACGCGCTCCCGTCCCAATCGTGTACCTGTGGGCGCGGCGAGTTGGAAATGGAATGGCAGGGACAGCCGTGGGCCACTCCAGCGTAATCCATTCTTTTTCGACAAAATAAATAAATAAATTCCCTACTGCAAGTTTACATTTTACGAAAATATTACTAGTACTCCCCCTATTCCAAATTATAGTGCGTGTAAAGTTTTGAACAAAAAGAAATCTACTGTCACTGTAGTAGGGTATCAACATACATGAACGAGACGAGCTTGACACTTGATGAATAATCATCAGTTAATGAAATGCACTCTAGTGTCAAGTTATCTCCCTCACGCAGTGGGAATTGATAGATCTACACAACTACAAAGAAGCTTGCCACCATGCGCCGGCGCAGCTATTTAAGCCGGCTGGCGTCCGCCTCGCGCGGTAATGTGAGACTAAAATTTAGGTGCACCAATAAAAGAAAACGGAACTTTCGTCGTTGTAGATGGGACCACTACGACCTGCAGCGAGGTCGGCGGGCGTGGCCGATCGCTTCGTATACACTTCATATGTAGGCTGGATATAAAGGGTGTCGATTTTTAAGGCCCGTTTGAGACACCTGTTTGGATTAAAATTTCGTGGCCGGACCTTCAGCCTGGGTGTTTGATACGGGCTTGGAGTGCCGGCTGTAGATGTTTTAATTCATTCTTTTTCGGGTACGTACAATGTAAACTAGTACTGTACAGTATAATTTACACTTGGGGTGGCTGGGGGAAAGCGTCCGAGCTTTGGCGCTGGAAAAGGCGATTGATTTTTGCATGGAAAGGAAAGCTAGTAGGCCAGTGGCCATGACTCAGGTACGCGAGGAAGGTGCAGGCAGGTCAGGTGATATGCCGCAAAATTCCTCTGGTGGTATGGCATTTGACCGTGCCCGTGCGCCTTTAGACCTGGGGCGACGACTTTCAGCAGGTTTGTCCGGCCACGTGGCCGGTTGACCGCCGGCAAAGCACCGGTCACGCTTGTCCTGCTTCCTACGGGAGAGGTGAACGGCGCTGCCGGCACTAGCATACATACACATACACACCCATCATCCGTGCCGTCCGTACGGAACGCGAGGGATGCCCTCTCAAAGATCTAACATGGGGTCCGCCGTCACCGTCGCCGTCGCGCGATGGTTGGTGGCGGTGACGAAACGACGAACTGAACGGCGCGGCGCGGTGTTTTGGTTAGTCGTACGTACCGGTGACTTAACCCAGTTTGGACCTTTGAAGACTTCAAGGGTTTGCGCGGCGCCATCGCCATGTGACGTTGCTACCCACCCCACCTGAGTGATTATTCCCTGCGACCAGACCACACGGACAAGGCACACGCGCGCGCCGTACGGCAACCACGGTACGCGCAGGACACGGATCCAGTGACATGCACGCCTGGCCGTTGGATCGAGAAACAACAGCCCAGATCACGTGCTGTAGCAGGGAACCACTGTAGATGCCTACTGTTCAGCGTCCTGCAGCGACGGTCCCTAGCACGGGCACTGTTCATGCACCGTAGCGTGGGTACACTGATCTAGCCCATTGATTCTTAGTCAGATGTCTGAAAGACGGTAGGGCATGTCGCTCGATCTCTATGTGATGATATGCCCGTGGCATGTCAGTGGATCTCACTCACTGCGGACATTAGAGCATTTCCAACCGTTCGGCCTCTCAGGACACCGAAAAAATGCGTCTTAGGAGCGAGCCGGCGAGATTTTCGGCATGGGGGCGACTGCGTTACCAGTTGTCACCCCAAGGTCGGCCCCAGGGTAAAACGAATTCGACGTTTTTTGGCACAAACTCGTCAAAATTCATCCAAACTCGGCGACATTCATTCAAATTTGTATAAAAAACAAATAAAAAGACAAACACGGCCTAGCTACGCCGTCCTCGCCACGCCTCGCCGCCGTCCGTCTTCTACATGCCTAGGCCCTTGTAGAAGTCGGTGTAGTCTCCGCCGCCGCCGCTGTCGTCGTCCTCGTCCTCGTCCTCGTCCTGCCACCCGCCGCCGTCCTTGCTGCAGCCCTGTCCAGTGTCGCCGACGCGGGATGACCCGGCCTCCTCCTCGTCGTTGTCGAGGTAGAGGACGCCGTCCACCTCGCGGAAGGGGCGGCGGTGGCGCGCCTTGAGTTCCTCGAGGGAGCGGCGCTGGCGAGCCACCTGCCCGCGGACGTAGTCCTCCCTCGCCCACCTCATGGCCGTCTCGTCGGCGGCGGCCATCACGAGGTGCTTCGACTTTACCGGGAGTAGGGGAGGCTCCGGCTCGGTTTTCGGCCGGACGAGGCATAGGCGACCGCCGCGGCCTTCCTCGGGGATGGTCAGGGCGCCGCTGCGGGTGCGGCGCCTTAGCGGGGACTCCCCCGCCGTGTCCTGCGGCTCGGGCTTGACGGCGAAGGCCGCCGGCGAGCTGCCCGAGGAGGAGGAGGTCGTCGTGTCCGACAACCGCCGCGGCATCCACGAGCTGCCACGGCGGCGAGAGAAGGACGGGGGTGCGGGGGCGGGGTACTCGAGGCGCGCGTGTTGCCGGCCTCGATGTAGTCGAGGACGTGCTCGAGGGTGCGGCCGGGCACCCCCCACCACTCGCGCCGCCCTTCGGCGTTGTGGCGGCCGCGAGGCACGATGCCATTGGTGGAGGCGATCAGGCTGT